TACTTCCTAACATCCCGATGACTAATCTGAGTTTTCAACCTCCACTTGTCGCTCCTTGTTGCCGCGTCTCATTTCTGAAACCTTGTCAATTCGTCTCAGTATTTTATACATCATTATCATGTGTCCCTATCCCTCACGTACTCTCGTCGTGGGACATACACCTTAGCTCCGGTACTAGTCTTATTTCAAACTTTTGCACTTTCTCCAATTTCTTGATGTGTTTGACCAGATGTGAGATCTACGTATACAGGTGTCGCATACGCCTACATGAGTCTGACATATACGGTGTACAGTGTGATGAATGACTTCTTACATAGATGTCGAAATGCTATTCTTAGGTTTGCCAGGCGCCTATATGCTGCAACAGTATTTTGGTTGATGTGTGCCTCAGAGGATGTGCTTGGTATGATGCTCACCTATTACGAACACAGTGAGGTATAGCTTAATGTCATCTGCAAACAGGAACATCTCTCAAGCTATCCCTTCCGTAATGTCATTCACGTATACCACAAACAGTACCCGCACTATGACTGAACCTTGTGGAATCCTACTCGACACATGGACCCACTCTAACACCTCATACTCTACCATCACTCGTTGTTTTCTTCCTGTCACGTATTCCGTGAACCATTGCAGTACTTTTCAGGCTTGTTCCTCTGGTTTTTGTACCAGTCTCCAGCGCGGTACTGTGTCTAAAACCTTCTTTCATTTCAAGAATAATGCAGTCTACTCATCCCTCTCTTTCTCCTGTCTTACTTCTGTTATCTTGTAAAATTCCGGTAGGTTAGTGATACAGGATAACCCATCCCTGAAGCCGTGCTGGTTGTCGTGCGCGAGCCCATTCCTTTCTAGGTGCCCCACTATCCTGCCTTTGTGTGTGTACTCACCTAATTGTGGTTGCAGGGGTCGAGATCCAGCTCCTGGCCCCGCCTCTTCACTGATCGCTACTAGGTCCTCTCTTTCTCTGCTTCCTGAGCTTTGTCATATCTCGTCTTAAAGCTATGTATGGTTCCTGCTTCCACTACATAACTTGCTAAGCTGTTCCACTTCTTGACAACTCTGTGATTGAACAAGTACTTCCTAACATCCCTGTGACTCGTCTGAGTCTTCAGCTTCTAATTGTGACCCCTTGTTTCTGTGTTCCCTCTATGAAACATCCAGTCTCTGTCCACCTTGTCTATTCCACGAATTATTTTGTATGTTGTTATCATGTCTCCCCTGACCCTCCTGTCCTCCAGTGTCGTCAGTCCGATTTCCCTCAACCTTTCTTTATAGGACATTCCCCTTAGTTCCGGAACTAGCCTTGTTGCAAACCTTTGTACTTTCTCTAATTTCTTGACGTGCTTGACCAGGTGTGGGTTCCAAACTGGTGCTGCATACTACAGTATGGGCCTGACGTACACAGTGTACAGTGTCTTGAACGATTCCTTACTGAGATATCGGAACGCCATCCTCATGTTTGCCAGGCGCCCATATGCTGCAGCAGTTATCTGGTTGATGTGTGCCTCCGGAGACGTGCTCGGTGTTATGGTCACCCCAAAATCTTTCTCCTTGAGTGAGGTTTTCAGTCTTTGTCCACTCAGCCTATACTCTGTCTGCGGTCTTCTTTGCCCTTCCCCAATCTTCATGACTTTGCATTTGGCAGGGTTGAAATCGAGAAGCCAGTTGCTGGACCACGTGTCCAGCCTGTGTGTGTGTGTGTGTGTACTCACCTATTTGTACTCACCTATTTGTGGTTGCAGGGGTCGAGTCCTAGCTCCTGGCCCCGCCTCTTCACCGGCTGCTACTAGACCCTCTCTCTCCCCGCTCCATGAGCTTTATCAAACCTCGTCTTAAAACTGTGTATGGTTCCTGCCTCCACTACGTCATTTTCTAGGCTATTCCACTGCCTTACAACTCTATGACTGAAGAAATACTTCCTACTATCTCTCTGACTCATTTGTGTCTTCAACTTCCAATTGTGGCCTCTTGTTTCTGTGTCCCCTCCCTGGAACATCCTGTCCTTGTCCACCTTGTCTATTCCACGCAGTATTTTATATGTCGTTATCATGTCTCCCCTGACCCTCCTGTCCTCCAGTGTCGTCAGGCCGATTTCCCTTAATCTTTCTTCATAGGACATTCCCCTTAGCTCTGGAACTAACCTTGTTGCAAACCTTTGTACTTTCTCTAGTTTCTTGACGTGCTTTATCAAGTGCGGGTTCCAAACAGGTGCTGCATACTCCAGTATGGGCCTGACATACACGGTGTACAGTGTCTTGAATGATTCCTTACTAAGGTGTCGGAATGCTGTTCTCAGGTTTGCCAGGCGCCCATATGCTGCAGCAGTTATCTGATTGATGTGTGCTTCCGGAGACATGCTCGGTGTTATACTCACCCCAAGATCTTTCTCCTTGAGTGAGGTTTGCAGTCTTTGGCCACCTAGCCTATACTCTGTCTGTGGTCTTCTGTGCCCTTCCCCTATCTTCATGACTTTGCATTTGGCAGGATTAAATTCGAGAAGCCATTTGCTGGACCAGGTGTCCAGTCTGTCCAGGTCTCTTTGAAGTCCTGCCTGGTCCTCATCAGATTTAATTCTCCTCATTAACTTCACATCATCTGCAAACAGGGACACTTCTGATTCTAACCCTTCCGTCATGTCGTTCACATATACCAAAAATAGCACTGGTCCTAGGACCGACCCCTGTGGGACCCCGCTCGTCACAGGTGCCCACTGTGATACATCATTACGTACCATGACTCGTTGTTGCCTCCCTGTCAGGTATTCTCTGATCCATTGCAGTGCCCTTCCTGTTATATGCGCCTGATGCTCTAGCTTCTGCACTAATCTCTTGTGAGGAACTGTGTCAAAGGCCTTCTTGCAGTCCAAGAAGATGCAATCAACCCACCCCTCTCTCTCTTGTCTTACTTCTGTTATTTTATCATAAAACTCCAGAAGGTTTGTGACACAGGATTTGCCTTCCGTGAATCCGTGCTGGTTGGCATTTATACTCCTGTTCCGTTCCAGGTGCTCCACCACTCTCCTCCTGATAATCTTCTCCATAATTTTGCATACTATACACGTCAATGACACAGGTCTATAGTTTAGTGCCTCTTTTCTGTCTCCTTTTTTGAAAATGGGAACTACATTTGCTGTCTTCCATACCTCAGGTAGTTGCCCAGTTTCCAGGGATGTGTTGAAGATTGTGGTAAGTTGTGTGTGTGTGTGTGTGTGTGTGTGTGTGTGTGTGTGTATGTGCAATATAGGGTAAAGGATAAACTGTTGAAATTATTGTTATAAATCAGTATGTTAGTATGCTTTTGCATTATTTATAAGTTATGGAATAACTGCAAAAGAAAACTGAATGGAAAATAAAAAAATATAAATCGTATATCTTTATATAGTAAAAATACAGAACAGGTTTTCCGGATATGTATCAGTTTTGTTTCCAGGTTAAAAAAAATGTCGAATTATTAAGTCATGGAATACTAATATAAGGAATTGAAGGATTTAATAAAATGTTGTAGAAAAAGAGTTATTGGAAGGCTTCCATCGCTGCCTTGAAGCCGAGGGAATTGAAAGGGCGCTGTAATGGAAATTTTACACCCCGTAGCGAGGTGTGTGTTGGAACCAAGCTTCACACGATGCTACCCAACACTGCACACAGGCAACGTTTACATCACTGGTATTAGCGATAAATACTTTATAAGTAGAATTCTGGAGGAATTACTTTCATAAAATAAACGTTTATTTATAGAATGATCTATGAGTTTTATAAGTAATCTTGTTTGTGATATTAATTTTCGTTAGGCGTTCATTCTGGTTTAAAATGGCGAGGCCAGAATAATTGGTAAAAAGAGTACATTAAACTACGTGAGATATTCTTTACGACTCAACTTTATTATTAGACCTTAAAAACAAGTGTAACAAATTAAACTATGTGAAATCAATTTTCATTATGAATTTCTGCTCGTGGGTCTATACGAAAAAATAATTATTGTTCGTCCCAGAGCTGCTCCTCGAAAGAGCGCAGAAGCGTATGTCTATATTCATTCTCTTAACTCCATTAAGCATTTATGTGCATTTCTCTGTCACGGTTTCTAATTTCCTCGCTCTAGTTAGGGTAGGTTAGGTTATCTTCTGTCATTTATAACATAGATGACATATATGATGATAAAAGTGACTGAAAGTTGTGCTGCTAGAACGAGAAACAGTGACCCAGTGAGCACAGTATATATAACTATCTCGATTTCACTGTTCTTTATCAGTCACTCATTTGACTGTCTGTACAAGAATGGAATAATGTCAGTGTTTAAGAGGGCGGACTGGTTGTACACACAAATTGCTTAGAAGATATGTAGGCTCTTCGAGAGCAAACCGAAGTACATTTGGGTATATATTATTTACAATTTATTATTATTTTAATTGTTAAAGACAAATACAGAGCATTGACACACACACACACACACACACACACACACACACACACACACACACACACACACACACACACACACACACACACACACACACACACACAAACACACCACACACAAACACACACACACACAAACACACACACACACAACACACACACACACACACACACACACACACACACACACACACACACACACACAACACACACACACACACACACACACACACACACACACACACACACACACACACACACACACACACACACACACACACACACACACACACACACACACACACACACACACACACACATATATATATATATATATATATATATATATATATATATATATATATATATATATATATATATATATCTGATTAATATATTTCACTAATAAGAAACCTTGACACACTAAACAGGTTATTGTAATTTCTGTCACTAGATAAATTACATAATAATAAAAAGAAACGAACAAAACAAAGAAACTGAAATAAACCAACTTTAAAAAACATAACTTTATCAATACCTCAATGAAAAACCCGTCAGGTGAAAATTAATTCTCTTCTGTGTTTTCAGACATATGAGGTGAGGGTGTACGAGCGCATGAAGTGGGTGTGTTCCCACGTTGTTGACACCCATCCTGACGCGAAGAATATGGTAAAACTCTTCTTTGCACTCTTCCACTACACTGGCGGAGAGAATTCCATGGGTGAGCCTTCATTCACAGCCTTCTAGTCACAGGCAGGCAATTTCTGCATCTAATTTCGTAGGCAAGTTACGTTTACAGCTGCCCTATTAGGAGCAACTCTCACAGCTGCCGTAGCTGGAGTTGCTGTCGCAGTTGGAGTCACAGGCAACTTACTCCAGCTGCTACTTTCACAGTTAAGTTACTCCAGCAGCTGCTTTCACAGGTAAGTTATACCAGCAACTTCCTTTACAGAAAAGTTATACCAGCAGCTTCCTTAATAGGCAAGTTCATCCTGCACCTGACTTCACAGGTAAGTTACTCCTGCAGCTGCATTCACAAGTAAGCTTCGCAAGAATCAGACATCACTAACAAGTTATTCTAGCAGCTACCTTCCCAGATAAGTAATTCTAGCATCTGCCTTCCCAACAAATTACTTCTACAGTTGCCTTCCCAGGCAAGTTACTCTCACAGCTGCCTTTACGCGCAAGTTACTCTCGTAACTGTCTTCATAGCAATTTTACTACATAGCTTCTTTCCTGGGCAATATGCTCCTGGATTTTTCTTCAACGCCAATTTATTCTCCAAGTTGCCTTTTCAGTTGTATTCCCAGGTAAATTACTCACGCATTTGCCTTCAGAGGAAAGTGTATATATATATGTATATATATATATATATATATATATATATATAATATATATATATATATATATATATATATATATATATATATATATATATATATATATATATATATATAATATATATATATATATTTTTATTATCACACTGGCCGATTCCCACCAAGGCAGGGTGGCCCGAAAAAGAAAAACTTTCACCATCATTCACTCCATCACTGTCTTGCCAGAAGGGTGCTTTACACTACAGTTTTTAAACTGCAACATTAACACCCCTCCTTCAGAGTGCAGGCACTGTACTTCCCATCTCCAGGACTCAAGTCCGGCCTGCCGGTTTCCCTGAATCCCTTCATAAATGTTACTTTGCTCACACTCCAACAGCACGTCAAGTATTAAAAACCATTTGTCTCCATTCACTCCTATCAAACACGCTCACGCATGCCTGCTGGAAGTCCAAGCCCCTCGCACACAAAACCTCCTTTACCCCCTCCCTCCAACCCTTCCTAGGCCGACCCCTACCCCCGCCTTCCTTCCACTACAGACTGATACACTCTTGAAGTCATTCTGTTTCGCTCCATTCTCTCTACATGTCCGAACCACCTCAACAACCCTTCCTCAGCCCTCTGGACAACAGTTTTGGTAATCCGCACCTCCTCCTAACTTCCAAACTACGAATTCTCTGCATTATATTCACACCACACATTGCCCTCAGACATGACATCTCCACTGCCTCCAGCCTTCTCCTCGCTGCAACATTCATCACCCACGCTTCACACCCATATAAGAGCGTTGGTAAAAACTATACTCTCATACATTCCCCTCTTTGCCTCCAAGGACAAAGTTCTTTGTCTCCACAGACTCCTAAGTGCACCACTCACTCTTTTTCCCTCATCAATTCTATGATTCACCTCATCTTTCATAGACCCATCCGCTGACACGTCCACTCCCAAATATCTGAATACGTTCACCTCCTCCATACTCTCCCCTCCAATCTGATATTCAATCTTTCATCACCTAATCTTTTTGTTATCCTCATAACCTTACTCTTTCCTGTATTCACCTTTAATTTTCTTCTTTTGCACACCCTACCAAATTCATCCACCAATCTCTGCAACTTCTCTTCAGAATCTCCCAAGAGCACAGTGTCATCAGCAAAGAGCAGCTGTGATAACTCCCATTTTGTGTGTGATTCTTTATCTTTTAACTCCACGCCTCTTGCCAAGACCCTCGCATTTACTTCTCTTACAACCCCATCTATAAATATATTAAACAACCACGGTGACATCACACATCCTTGTCTAAGGCCTACCTTTACTGGGAAAAAATTTCCCTCTTTCCTACATACTCTAACTTGAGCCTCACTATCCTCGTAAAAACTCTTCACTGCTTTCAGTAACCTACCTCCTACACCATACACTTGCAACATCTGCCACATTGCCCCCCTATCCACCCTGTCATACGCCTTTTCCAAATCCATAAATGCCACAAAGACCTCTTTAGCCTTATCTAAATACTGTTCACTTATAATGTTTCACTGTAAACACCTATATATATATATATATATATATATAATATATATATATATATATATATATATATATATATATATATATATATATATAATATATATATATATATATATATATATATATATATATATATATATATATATATATATATATATTTAATCAGTAACAAACTGCTGCTAGCCGGGGGATCGAACCTGTTGTTTTAGAACCCCTTATGCGAAGAGCGAAAATTCACGACGCCATAAACCACTGGACCATACAATCCTACAAATAACATGAGCCTAGCGAACTAGGCTTGGCTAATGTTGCGAGGACATACGATGGTGTGGTTGTCTTAGAACTAACTTCATTCTACTTCCCGTTTGGTGTACTAGTTTTGGATTGAGATTAACTTGTAGAGAAGAAATAATAGTGTTATTAGACAGAGAGTTAGATGTATCATGAAGATGGATGGAATATTTTAAGGAACTGTTAAATGTTGATAAAGATAGGGAAGCTGTGAGTTCGTGTATTGGGCAGGGAGGTACAACATCTTGTAGGAATGAGGAAGAGCCAGATGTGAGTGTGGGGGAAGTGCGTGAGATTGTGGGTAGAATGAAAGGGGGTAAAGCAGCTGGGCTTGATGGGGTGAAAACAGAAATGTTAAAAGCAGGAGCGGCATTAGTTTTGGAGTGGTCAGTGTTTTTATTTAATAAATATGGAAGAGAGTAAGGCACCTAGAAATTGGCCGAGAGCATGCATAGTTTCTTTTTATAAAGGCAAAGGGAATAAAAGAGATTGTAAGAATTATAGGGGAATAAGTCTGTTGAGTATACGTAGTAAAGTGTATGGTAGAGTTATTATCGAAATAATTAAGAGTAAGAACAAGGAGGCTTTAGGAAGGATATGGGATGTGTAGACACAGTGTTCACCTTGAAACATATAGGTGAATAGTATTTAGATGAAAGTAAAGAAGATTTTGAGGCATTATAGATTTGGAAAAGGCGTATGATAGAGTGGACAGGGGACGATGCGGGAGATGTTGCAAATGTATGGAATAGGAGATAAGTTATTGAAAGAAGTGAAAAGTTTTTGAGGATAATGAAGCCCAGGGTAGAGTTTCTTGGAGAGAGGGAGATTATTTTCCAGTAAAAGTAGGCCTTAGACAAGGATATGTGATGTCACCATGGTTGACCAGTATATTTATAGATAAATCTGTAAGAGATATGAATGCTAGGGTGTTGGTAAGAGGTGCGTGGGATAAAAAATAAAGAATCTAATGCAAAGTGGGAGTTGTTACAGTTGCTCTTTGCTGATGACGCTGTGCTTTTGGGAGATTCTGAAGAGAAGTTGCAGAGGTTGGTGAATGAATTTGGTAAGGTATGTAAAAGTGAAAGAAACTTAGAAGTGAACATATGAAAGAGTAAGGTGATGAGAAAACAAAAAAAAATCATGTAATAGAAGATTGGATATCAGATTGGAGACAGGAATTATGGAGGAATATATTCAGGTATTTGGGAGTAGACTTGTCAGCAGATGGGTCTATGAAAGACGAAGAGAATGATAGAATTGATTATGGGAAAACGTGTGGTGCACTGAAGAGTCTGTGGAGACAGAACGTTATCCATGGAAGCAAAAAGGGGAATGCAGGAGAGTATAGTCATACCAATGCTCTTATATGGATGAGTGTACTGAGAGCATTGAGTATGATGAGAACATTGATTTTGTTGCGTCAGTGTTTGCAGTGTGAACATAAAATAAATTTGTTGGAACATTGAGTTTGGGAGAAACACTGAGTGTAGTGAGAACAGTTTATGTAGTTAAAAGAAGAAGCTTATTGAGTTAGGTTTGTATGATCACTGAGTGAGTGAACTGGCTCAGTGTGTACACAGTGTGTACTGCAACACTGAGTGTGGAGGAAACGTTGAGTGCAATGTAAACAGTATAATGGGACCAGTGGGTGTGTTACACATAGCGAGTGCAGTGGGAACATTGTGTGAGTGTAGGGGGATCACTGAGTGATTGTAGCGGGAACACTGAGTGATTATAGTTGGAACACTGAGTGATTGTAGCGGGAACACTGAGTGATTAAAGTGGGAACACTTTGTGAGTGAAGTGGTAACATCGAGCATAATTTCTACAAGATTATTCAGCTAAACATTTTGTGTTATTAAGATGCAGAATATAAAAACGAAGACTCTGTTTTTGCCTTATTAACAATATTGAAAATTATGAAAAATAAAATAACTTTAGGTCATTGAAATGATTTACTTTGTTAATCACTATCATTTTGTTAAATTGATAATACTGTTAATATTATTTTCATTGAAATTTGTGATCACTTATATTAAATCATTTTAGTATATAACCCTCACTAGCATTTCAAGTCAATTTATTATTTATTCTTCCTGAATATAGTATTAATATTTCGTTAGGTTTGAAGCTACAAATGACAGCTCCTGTGACCTCGCTGGAGGAGACGTATAATGCTGAACAGAAACTGTATCAAATATGTTTCTACATCCCTGCCGCCTTCCAGGAGAACCCGCCCACTCCCACTGACAAAGATGTTTACATCCAAGAACACCCACGACTCACAATAGCAGCAAGGTGCGTGGCTAGTGTTGCTGGAAATTTACGGATAAAATTTTCCTGGAATCTGCGCACCTTTAGTAACAGTATTCTTAACATCTATCTACTCCCTTGTAACAAACGCTACTTGTCCGTCATCCTTGACCTGTAAGATTCCTCTCTGAATATTAATACTTTCCATATTGACTCTCCAATGAGCCTAAGGGACTCTTAATACAAGGAAATGAAAGTATTATTCCTTTCCTTAAAATATACCGAATTAATCCTACCCCTCTCTCATTTCCAAGGCGTTGTATGATTCTGCCGTGTTTAGCGCTGCCTCTTGAATATATTAATACAGTAGTACTCTCACTTAAGAGCAAGCACTGCTCTTTCTAGATAATGTCACACTAATCTAACACTTTTCATTTCAAAAGACACTCTCTCTGTACTTTCCACGACACTACTGACTACCACTCTTTACTAAACCATATAAACATAATATACAACTTATGTAAATATGACAAAGTATCACATATTGTTAGGTAAGACACATATGCAACAGTTAGGTATCTTTATTTCGAAACGTTTCGCCTACACAGTAGGCTTCTTCAGTTGAGTACAGAAAAGTTGATAGAAGCAGAATAGACTTGAAGACGATGTAATCAGTCCATCACCCTTAAAGTTTTGAGGTGGTCACTCCCTCAGTCTGGAGAAGAGCATTGTTCCATAGTCTGAAACAATATGGAGTTGAAGTGATAGGATGGAGCCTTATATAGCCTTATATTACTTCTACTAGTGACCTTCGTCTCACCTCCTGGCGCTATATAAGGCTCCATCCTGTCACTTCAACTCCTTATTGCTTCAGACTATGGAACAATGCTCTTCTCTAGACTGAGGGACTGACCACCTCAAAACTTTAAGGGTGATGGACTGATTACATCGTCTTCAAGTCTATTCTGCTTCTATCAACTTTTCTGTACTCGACTGAAGAAGCCTACTGTGTAGGCGAAACGTTTCGAAATAAAGATACCTAACTGTTGCATATGTGTCTTACCTAATAACCTGTCGGTATTTTATACCATTTTAATGTTCAGTATCACATATTATTGATTTACAGATCCGACAAGTAGAAGAATAAGACACTGGGGAAACTTGGGTATTTTTAATGTGGAGACCTTTCCCCAACCAGTGGCGAAAATGAAGAATAATACTGAAAACAGTAAAATACATGAAGAAGTTATCTGAGGTGATCCGTTTCAGTCTAAATTAATCAGTAGGATATGAAAGATGTCTCCAGCTGATTCATTTAGGGAATCAGTCCCTCAGTCTAGAAAGGTGGTGTTCTATTCATAGTGTTGATGGGCCTAAAATAAATGCTTTTAAAAGGAGGTTTGTATATTGAAAGGAAGGTGAAGACGTCACAGGTAGATAGAGGGCACTTACTGAAGTAGGTAATGCCATTAGGCTAGACAAACGCACAGGTGATTAAAAATTCGCTGTTCCATGATTCCGAGTTGTTGCTGTGTCAGACAAATATCACACATTTATGGTATACAAAACCGACAAGCAAATAAATAAGAAACATGTGGACTACATAGGTATCTTTATTATGGAGACGCTTCGCCAGCCAGTATCTTTATCAATACAGTTTTACTGGAAACTGTAGGCAACATGCAGAGATAGTTTGACGTGATCAGTTCATCAGACTAGATGAATCAGTTGGTGACGGTGGAAGATATGAAGAATTAATTTGAGGTGATCAGTCCTTCAGCCTGATCCTCAGGAGAGTCAAACGTTGTTCATGACAGCTAACGTTGGACATGACAACCACCGTTGCTCAAGAGACCCAACATTGAAGTTCCTCAACTTGTACTCCCTAGAATGTAGGTGGGAGAGATACACGATTATATACACTTGGAAAATCCTAGAGGGATTAGTACCAAACTTCCACACGAGAATCACTTCCTATGAAACCAAAAGACTCGGCAGACGATGTAACATCCCAGCAATGAAAAGCAGGGGTGTCACTAGCACGATAAGAGACAACACAATAAGTGTCAGGGGCTCAAGACTGTTCAACTGCTTTCCAGCATACATAAGGGGGATTACTAATAGACCCCTGGCTGTGTCTTTAAGAAGGTATTGGACATGCACCTAAAGTCAGTACCTGACCAGCCGAGGCTGTGGTTCGTACGTCGGGTTGCGTGCGGCCAACAGTAACAGCCTTCTTGATCAAGCCCTGATCCACCATGAAGCCTGGTCACAGACCGGGCCACGGGGGCGTTGACCTCCCAAAACCTTTCCAGGTATACTCCAGGTATACAGTCAACGTTACTCTTGACAACCAACGTTGCCCAAGGGAGATAACGTTACTCATGTCAAAAAATGTTGGTCAAGACATTCATCGTTGCTCATGACTGCCAACGTTGCTAAAAACAATCAACTTTGCTCATGCTTGTCACCGTCACCGTTGTTTATAATAATTAACATTACAAATAATATTACTAATGACGGCGAACGTTGGTCAATGTTGCCAACATTACTGAGGATCAAAAACGTTCCCCATGACATGCAACACTGTTCATGGCAATCAACGTTGCTGATGTTTTTCTAATGCCAAGAATGCCCATGACTGCTAATGATGCTCATGAAAGTCCGTTGCTTATAACAACCACCGTTATGTAAGACGGCTAGCGATGTGAATGACAGCCAACGATATTCATGACAATCGCCGTTTCACATGAAAGCCAATGTTGCTCATGACATATGACAATCAACTTTGTCCATGACCACCATCGTTGCTCATGACAGCCATCGCTGCTCATGTTAGCAAACCCTGGTCATGACAGCTAACGTTGATCACGAGAGCTAAGGTTACTCATGACAACCAACATTACACACTACAGCTAATGTTATTAATGCCAACTAACATTACCCCTGAGAGCTAACTTTATAAATGACAACTAAAGTTATCCAAAATTGCTGATATTACTCGCGTCAACTAACATTATTCATAACAACTACTGTTAGCCATGACAGCTCACGTTACTCGCACGGCATATAGCGTCACTCTATATATAGCCACGTCATGCGGCAAGAGCTGGAGCTGAATATAGGTTTCCAAACATTTCTCTGTCTTGACAGATTTTCACTTTCGCTAATATGAAGCACTTCTCAGGACCTTCAGTGGGATGGTGATGAATATTAGCGAGTGGGAAGCTGAGGATGCAGCGCTTCTAACCGACCTCAACAAAGCTGGAGAAACAGATATTGATTTGACGCGTCGTTACGGGTAAGTTTGTGCTGGCGATCACTCATACATTTAATGGTTGAATGAAAAGACATAAGAATGCCATAAGCCCTCTTTATAACAGCAGTTTCTTTATTGGGAACCATGACAAATTATGATAAGTACTCGCGATGTTACTTGTGTCTTTTTGTCTACCTGTTGTCTCTGTAGGGGAAAAGGGAGAGTCCAAATATTTGAGAACAATGTATTTTCCCTTCCGCTTTTACTTTAGTATAGATGACGATTGTGATGCTGTGTTAATAAATACTCACTATCTGACAGAAAACCCCAATTAAAAAATATTTGGAACGAATCAAACAGCTTCTTTGTTCTTACTGAAGAGGTCATGCTATTTGGTCATGCTAGGGTTTTGTTAATAGGGTTATTGACAAATACTTTTTTATGGAAATTTGAAAATTACGAAGACTCACTATAACTGTTAATATCGTGCTGTGTCTGATTATATCATCTTCTGTCTGCCGAGATCATGTTATCTAAACGGTTAAATATTTTAATACACATAGGATATTAAAAGACTCTTTAGGATGTTTTCTCTGGTCAACGAGAGAAGTTCAAGAGCAGATTTCTTCTACAGGGCAATGTACGACTCTCCTTTGAAGAGCACAAGCAGGCGCAACGAAGTCTGGTTTATCTTGAAGAAGTAAAGCTCGATCCTGACGACCTGATCGCCACTAATTCTTTAGTCAACTCTATCACATACATGTACACACAGAACAATGTGTGAATGTAAACTTCCATGAATACACAAGCGGATGACACACACACACACACACACACACACACACACACACACACACACACACACAAACACACAAACACATACACACACACACACACACACAAACACACACACACACACATGTGCTTCTACATGAACGTACACATACACATTTCCACAACGACAATCATACCCAAAAACATTCCATAGATACAAACCAAAAATTAGTGTAACAATAAAAAAACAGAAAAATTAATATATAAACAGAATTGTAGCGAGAAATTAGGGCAGAACCGATTTTTGTCTCATTATTATGTATTGCTATAAAAATACTGAAAAAAAAGTTAGATTTTTTTTTTTAAATTTCCGCTGAGCAAAATCTGTTAACTATCAAATAGTGAAAGCGACAAGTGGATATTTTCTTTATAAAATGGTTTGTTTATGGGCGGATCCAGGAACTGATTAAGGAGACCCGTCGTTGTCTGTATCGATGATCGAGAGGGGAAATATCCAGCGGAAGGCGCCATTTTTATGAATTCATTAATTAAATGTATAGAAACCATTTTTTTTATAACGTAGTAACAGTTTAATGAGTAGTAAAAATCAATGTAAATCAAATTATGTTTTTCCAACCTGAAAAAGCTGTTCAGATTTGTATAGAGAGCGAAGTCTTTCCTCTGCATCAGCTCTTGGTTATATAATGGAAGTGAATCAAAGTGAAAATTTTCCCTAGAAAAATTATGTCTGGTATTGAAAAAAATTAAAACATATAAAGATAGATACATAAATAACCCGCACATAGAAGAGAGGAGCTTACGACGACGTTTCGGTCCGACTTGGACCGACTCTGTAAATGGTCCAAGTCGGACCGAAACGTCGTCGTAAGTTCCTCTCTTCTATGTGCGGGTTATTTGTGTATCGTTCCAGTCACAGTATTGTGCCTTTTTTTTGTTATATATAAAAATAGAGTTTGGTGGAAGATAAATATCACCTAACATTAGTGAATTTGTGTAAAACTAGAATCCAATTCACTTTAAATCAAATCATTATATATTATTTTTATTTCCCAATACACAGTTGGAAAATAAAAATAATAGATAATAATTTGACATATTACATAACAATGAATATTGCACAGATATTAATGTACTAAGTATTCCTCAGCTGCTAATTATTATTATTATAATCAAGGGGGAAGCGCTAAACCCGGAGGATTATACAGCGCCCAGGGGGGGGGATGTGGAAGGCATTCAGGCTTAATTCAGGGAACTGGAGCACAGATCCAATTCCCTAAATCAAGAGCCCCTCACCAACATCAAGGAGCCTTCCTTGAGGGGTCAGCTGCTAATACTACTTGAAAAGTTAATGGTTCTGCATCCTACTTATCCTAAACATTTCCATTTGAAAATCACTGTCCCAAAATTTACATTATAAGGTGATCTTCATATAATGAAATAAATCTTTACATAAACATTGAGATTGAATTTTATGCGTAAGGAAATATATCCTGACAGCATGATGAACATGCGGGTTTCAAGCTTACTTTTATGCTGCCATCTTGTTCTAAACATTAAAATAAGCGAATTTGAAAATATTGAGTATGTTTAAATGAAGAGTTCAGAAAAGCAAGAGGAATTACATCTCTGGTTTAGAAATGTAATAGTAAGTTAAAAAAATTAACATTCTTAAAATTTACTTATTTTAATTACCTAGCTTGTAATAAGGCAAAATAATCTTTAAAGAAACATAAATTAAATAAATGTGCAGAATTACGAGTATTATTCTAAGTGTTTATTCTCTCCCTATATATTTCAAAGAATTGAAAAGACAACAGAAAAAAAATGCTTAATGCAATTCCGACGGACTTCAAAATGTCTTTCTTCATATAATAAATAAAAAGGGATAATAATAAATATTGGCAATATGCATTATTCCATAATTATTATAAGACGACATAAAAAATAACATTGATGCTCAATACAGAGTCGGGTTTTCTTTATTAAACAAAACTGTATACAGTAACAGTGTGTTGCTTCCCTATTCTTTATGTCAATTAACAGTGAGAACAAAATTTTGTATCGGTGTGGAAATCTATCAGCTTGAGCTGGGAGATTTTAAGTTGGGCAATGAGGATATCAAGCATTTCAGTAAAGACTGATCAGCTGTGGGGGCTTCAATGGTTTCGTTGTAGCAGAGCTGGAGTTGCTATCACTTGGAAATTGCCATCTGTCAGGAAGTCTATCCCACACACAGGAGAAATGGGGAATGCTCCGTTTAGGAGTTTCATTTCAATCTTTGTCTGAATGTTTGTGTCATTTATCTATTCAATGAATGACTGTGATTGTGTTTGTCTTTTAGGGTCACTCTATATTAATGAGTAGCTTAATATTTATTTGACACCCATCGACTCCCACCAATCAGGGAGATTTGAATGAGGAAACATATTCTCATCATTTACTAAACTGATGTCTTGCCAGATTCTGTCTTGCCACAAAACAAAAATTCCTCTGAGCTGGAACATCCTAATTCCTCCTTCAGACTATGCTTCCTACTTCCAAAACTCAAGTCTGGCTATTTGGTTTTTCTGAATCATCTCATAAATGTTACATTGCTCACTCACCAACAGCACGATAAGCCATGAAAATTAGTTTGTCTTAACTCAGCCTTACCACCTTCTTCAGTATATATTTGCTTTAACAGACTGGAAAATTCGATAGTTGGCGATTCGTCGCATCGGTAAATAAATCTAAGAGTTGCAAATGTGCCTTATTAATTATTTTGTCGGTATTGTACACCATATATGTAATAACAGTCTCCACGGCGTTCTAACACGACTCCTTCTTGATGCTCGAAGCACTACCACTGAGAACTTCATTCACGCACTCAAACTTTTTCTGGGACAACTCATACCCCTACCTCATTCCGCTCTTGATTTACACACTATTTTGATCATCCTATTCTGCTCTACACAAGATTGGAAATATTATAACCATGCACTTTTCAGCATGAAAACTCAAGTTTCATGTCCTCGACCACTACGCTAAGATTTCCCGATTTCTCAAAATTCTTATTCTGCTTTGGACGGAGAATTTCCTCCCAGTTTTGTGTCATCCCCGAGAGACTCCACTTTTTACGTCTAGGCACTCAGATAAGTTTCATAGTGCCATTCACCGTTTCGTATTGATGTGTCAGTCATTAATCCTGGTATAAAGTTCACTTCCTACAACGTACGCCTTTGATGTTGTACTTTGTCTCTAGTGTTTTGGAAGTCTACATATTCTTCACCTGTTTCGAATTTTTCTTCCCAGATTTGTTTAAATATCAAACTTTTGATATTGAGTGCAATTCGTTTTTCAAATTCTTGTCTACCACTTCTTATCTATCTCTTCGTTGAATATTTCCTCATTTCCTTCTTGGCTTGATACTACTGAGTAATATATTAGTAGTATCATTACCAAAGAGCCGTAGTGATTGTAAACAAGAGTTGTTGAAATCAACTATAATCGAAATTACTCAATTTCCATAGGTATTTTAGCAAAAAAAAAACATTATATAATTTTATAATCCCTAATATAACATTAAGTGAGTAAGGCAAAAGAGCATGGGAACATAAAAAATACATATATGTAAGAAAATAAATTATATGAGTAATTGCATCTGAAATAATTAAAACTGAGCAGATTTCTTCCCTTGATAATATGGTAATTAAATCAGAGATTAACAAATATGAATAAGGCAAGCATACTGAAAATACATGAAAAGTTTAGTACATTCTTCAATGTACATAGTTACAGAAGGTGGGAATCACAACCCATATATAACTCTTGCAAGGTAGTATAGATTAGTAGTATATACTTTGTAAGTATACGTTTTTTTTTTAAGAACTATACCTTCTACCATCCCTGTTCTACGACGAAATAACTCAGTAGTATCCCAGATCCATCTAACCAAGAACGTAGAGAAAATAAAAAGGCTCTAGTAAGATTTCCCACCAGATCACTAAAAACCATCAAACAAAAATTACTGAGAACTCTATACCTCTGTACAGACAGAACACTATTAATACACAAATCACCAGCATATATAAGAGAGAGAGAGAGAGAGAGAGAGAGAACAAGTTACGATGACGTTTCAGTCTGACTTGGACCATTCACTAGTTACAATGAGGTCAGAGTATTATCTCAGTCATAATGACAAGTTTGTAAGCTTCTTGGTCTCTTGATACATTATTCCAGTATTTATAAGAGGCATTAGATGCAACAAAAATGATGGCCTTGCTGTTATTAATCATTATTACAGTTTCGTGGATGATATAATATATATTTGATTTTTTATTTTAATTGCCATGAATTTCGACATAATTCGAGTGACCTGCTTGTTCCTCGTGTTTATGAAGTATCATCACATAAGGTTCATCGTTGGATTACAGAATTACACCAATGCTTTTTTTTCCAGGTATAAGCTGTATTGAAAATATTGTATGCAGAAAGATATTTCTGCTGTAACATTACCGCTTAAATTAAACTAAGATTCACTCAGAGCAATAATATACAGATGCTATGATGAAAGGAAATATAGTAATTCGCCCCATTTTTATAAAACATTATAGACAACAGTGTAAAATCTTTTCCTTGCAGCCAGATGAACTGATCTACATCCTGCAATATTTAATTTAAATTCCTGATCTGACTAAAACCAGAGGCTGTCTTCTCCCATATTCTCCCCCCCCCGTCATCCTCCAACATACTTCTCTTACCTACTTTTACCCCTTACTTCACCTCATTTAGCGATTCTTTAAGATAATTCACATTTTTATTTCGTTTGTCACTTTTAATCAGCAGGAGTAATCGCATTCCTTTTAGAAGAAAGTTTATTCAAGGACTTAAAAATCTAATATTAAGTATGTTATATACATTCAAATCTCGAGAAGCAAATGCAGTAAATTTTTTAGAAAAAAATGCAACCTTCTAATCACGAAATGTTCTTTTAAATAAGACCGGAAAAAGTGGTTGAAATTAAATATATAAGAAAAGTAGCAACACACAGTTGAAATA